CTCTCTCTCTCTCTCTCTCTCTCTCTCTCTCTCTCTCTCTCTCTCTCTCTCTCTCTCTCTCTCGGCCCCGCTTGTATACACACACACACACCTTACAAAAAACAAAACAAAAAAAAAGTGCATCTGTGCCACATCACAGACACCCCCTCAACCCCAGCACCCTCCACCCAGACCTGTCATCCACGTGGCTGGCCTTGTACGTAAGAGATGATGAACAGGTGGGGCTTTCCTTCCTTACTTCTTTTCCTTTCCTTGTTTTGCTTTTTTTCGCCTTTGCGCACTGATTCACAGTGTGACAATATATATTGTAAAGATATATATGCAGGCACAGAGAGCAGCCCAGTGAACCATAGGCAGAGACGGAGAGAAAGACAAGAAAAGGGGTTATGACGGCTCACCAAGAGACTGAACCATATGTATTCAGCATCCTCATGAGTCGGTCAAACTGCAATGCAACAGTTTTTCACAGCCCCCCATCCAGAAGTCATGTCCCCACCCACCCTTCAACGCGCCATCTGGTGTTCTGCATGGCAAACCATCCGCGTCACTGTCAACACCATGGCCACCGCAGGGTCGAAATATTGTGGGAGCGTTGATGAAAAGCGCCCAGGGAGGATTCCATGGAGGCACCGCAGGATTGGCTGCGCCCTCTCGCACCGGACGCCCTACAGCAACCATCGTCCGTTGTAGTATCTGTAGTGCCTCTGCGCACACATGTCATGCACTGCCTACTGTTCTCCGAGGTGGCTCTCCCGCCGGCTGACAAAGAATGGTCTGGTCTGCGTGTGTGGCACATACATCCATCCGTGTAGCATGGAAGCCGTCACCTTTCCCCGGCGTCTAGGGAGGTCACGACACACACCTTGCCAGCATCTCATCTCCCATCGTCACCGCACCCATTTAGACGATTGGTGTGCCTGCCCCCCCCTGCTCTGCCACGTCTTTGAAGCTCCACATCGACGATGGGGGCCAGTGTCGTGCCCGTGTAGACCACCAGTGCACCTGTCCCCCTGCTCTGCCACGTCTTTGAAGCTCCACATCAACGATGGGGGCCAGTGTCGTGCCCGTGTAGACCACCAGTGCACCTGTCCCCCTGCCCCGCCACGTCTCTTCAACCCTTCCACATCAACAACAATGGGGGAACGTGCCACACCTGCCCCCCTTGCCCCGCCATGTCTCTACAGCTGGCCCACGTCCATAATGGAGGCATCTGTCACGCCAGCCTCAATCCGTTGCCCCGAATGATGAGACATGGCACTTGCCTGCGAAACACCTCCTCGGGCACCTGATGTGCTGCATGAGAGGAAAATGGGGTGTGTCACTCCGCCCCATGTCAGAGCCAAACTGCACGCTGATTGATCATCGGACAATGCTGGCATTGGCTGCAAGAATGGTCCGTTCTACGATGCAACACTGGGAGGCACAGTGCCCCACTGCTGCGAATAGATGAATATGTCCTCAAACCCCTGTCTGAAGGCATCATCCTGATAGCTGGCGTCAATGACCAGCTATGGCATCTGTGCGTGACAGTGTCCCTTGTCACTCACCTGCTGTTCCTGGACACTTTAGGATAAGGCTGGCCATGTGGAGGCTGCCAAAAGTGCAGGTAAAGAACGCCCGTAGGTAAGGCATGAGATCATCACCATGTGCACACAGCTGGATACAGCCACAAGCGCCGTCGCCTCCAGAGCCATTAATTAGGTCTAGCACTAATTTTAGACTGGACTCCGCATGGAAACTTTGATGGCAGTCTTCACAAC